CAGATAAAGGTGGCGGTATCGACAAGAGAGACTGGGCAAAGAAATGGAGTCGTTTCCTGAAAGCGGTTACTTAACGAGACATTCATATTATTTTACATAGTATATACATGTTTATATATAGATTATATTTCATATTGTTATATTTGAATATTTCGTGCCAATCATTTTATAAAAAAAAAATACAGTCCACTATAAAAATATACACATTTAAGCCGCCCGGGAGAATGTACAAAATACTTTGTACATACTTTTGAGTGAGATTGAGGCGCTGGGAAAATCCAACAATTAAAAATAAATATTTCCAAATTATCAGTTTCCCAGCGGTCATAAAATATCACATGTGTAGAATTAAGTGATCTTGTGCGCTGTCGCATACGATAATGTGTAAGATAATAAAGGTCACAACCCACACACACAGTATCGATGCGTACAGTGGATAGCCAAGACCACTTGAATGAAGGGACAAGCACCCATGCAATGTTTCTTTTAAATCTAATAATAGATAAGAACAATTGTGTGGCTGCGACTAGGTTAAGTTAGATTAGTTTCAGTAGTACGTAAGGAACATATTTTAAAAATAAAATTAGAATTGAAACAACAGCCAAACGATACGGTCGTGTTTTCTCTTCTCCCGCTTACAACAGGCAAACCGTTTAGAAAATTTTTAAAAATTGATCCAGTTCACGTCGGTGCCTAGTACTGACAGGATCCGAAATATAAACTTGTATACGCTTCTTACAATTAAAGGTAACTCATACCATCACTAAAAACCACCCCTTTTGATAGGCCGTTCCAAGTATCCCCATATTGGGTTTCATATTCGCAAATTTTTTCGTGTTTCACAATTACCTACAACTTCTTCAGCAGTTTTCTTTAATTATATTTTCAAACAGATATCCGTCTTTAATGTTATGCAATCATTTGATACATCCTTTCAATACCTACTCAACTCTTTTGTTTTGCTTTGTTATTGCATGAGTGTGGGTGTGTGTGTGTGCATTGAATACATTTCTCTGTCAAAAAAAGTTCTTTGTTCCAATGTCACTTGCAATGCAATTAAATCAATTCAGTGCTTTTCAGAGATTCTTTTTGTTGGGCTTTTAGTACACTTCAGTGACAGCGAGAGACTGACAGGCGGGTTCAATGCAACTGCAGAACCAACAACAATAGCAATTGACAGATTCAAACAAATTGACATCAATAGACCAAATTGTTTGTAGAAATAACAGTTTTTTTTTGTCGTAAATGTCGGAAAAGGAGCAATCTTACATTTCGTTGACTCAATTGGAGAGACAATAACGAGGATGAAAACAACCAAACATAAATACAAAAGAGTTTTGAGAGCACCCTCCCCCCTCAGAGATGATGTTGCATCATCATCATCATCGTCGTCGTAATTGTCATCGTCATACGCGCGCCGGCTAAGCACATTCATGCCATGACAATTAATTTCTCAATTGTCTCGAAAGCACTTGGCAATGTTGTTTTACAATTCCGATGAATTCGGTGACAAGGGAGGCAATACACCGACTATTACCCACACAATGAAGGACAATGTCTTCTTCTTCAATATCGTATCCATAGTTCTTGAAAAGAAATTCTAGCTTTGTATTATTTTTTTATTGTTATTATTGTAGTGTTTGTTAGAGGCTTCCTGGGCATCCGTATAATACCAGATTTAACGAACAAACACAATGCGACAAAAGCAACACCTACACAATACCTGTGGTGAGAGATAAAATAGAAGCAGATTAGAAATTGAGTCGACGACATTATGTGTTCCTTCGCCCACTTAAATGGCAAAAGTTCAATAATGGACCAACCAGCAAAAATTTGAAAGGAACCAGAAGAATTGGGCCGATATCTACTATATTATTATTAAAAATTTTAAGCCGTTGTGGGTAAGATACCAGAAGAACTAAACCGATGTATCCCATCTTCACACCAGATCCTGTGTTAATAAAAATATTGGGATTCGTGAATTTTCAAAAGAGTCGGGTGATTACTTGGCATTTAATGAGAGATATAATTATAGGAAATGTTGACACTTTGCGGGGGAAAGGAGTGATCAAGGGGGCCAACCCCAACTGCCAGGCTAGATCCGAAGATCTAGGGGCACCTGGCACCAGCGGTACCAGAATATAGCCTCCGGTCAGGCTTCTTAGCAACGCTACTACCAGTTTAACTCCAAACAGTCCGGGACTGGTAACCCACCAACAGAAAATCAGCAAAAGACTGGTATATTGAAGTTTTGAAAATGTTCATCCACAAGTGACCTAAGAAAAGGGCACAAGTTGCCCCTACTTCGGCATTTTTTAATACCCTCAGCCGCATGGCTAGAGAGGGTATATACCATTTGATGCGGCAAAAACGCGGTTCATCGAAATAATGGTTTTGGACGCTATGTCTCTTTTTGTACCAAACTCTCGAAGGGAGTGTCCGATTTGCTTCAAACTTGGTACATCGTAATATTATTGTCAAACTTAAAATGTGTTCGAAGACGGGTAACATCGGAACACTCCTTCTGGTACTTCCACCACGAAAGGTCAACATTTTTAAAGGAAATGATTTACCTCATAGAAAGGGAATATTCGATTTAATGCAAACATTAAAAAATGGCAATATTTTTGTCAGTGCTACGCCAGGTGCGAAAAATAACAATATCGGCCCACTTCATCAAGTATCTCAACCACAACTGGTCAAATTTTGTATTAATTATAACTTTTGTAAAATATAAAATAAAAGTCCGATTGTCTTCAAATTTACCATAACCCAATATTTTTATTAACGCAAGATCTGGTGTGAAGACGGGATGTATCGATCCACTCCCTTTGATACCGTCCCGACAAGGGGTAAAAATTTTGAATAATTATAATTCCTATAAGATTTGAAATTATCTTAGATTTTTGCTCATCTCAATAATTTTGCCAGCGCAGGATCTGGTAAAATGATGGTAGAGATCGGACCACTCTTTGTGGGACCTCCCCCACAAAGGACCAAAGCTTTGAATAACCAAAACGATTATAAAATCCGTATTAAATATCCTGTTCTCTTCATATTTCACATTTCTCGTTATTTTTACCAATACAAGATCAGCTGTGAACATCGGATATATCGATCCACTCCTTCTGGTACCTCCCTTACCAAAGGGTCAAAATTTTAAATATCCATGAAGCTCATAAGTTCGATTCCATTCAGATTTGGTACATCTCAATACTTTCATCAACACAAGATCTGTTATACAGAGCTTTGATTATGGAATTTGTTAAAACTTTTTTTTAAGGACTCTTCGTTCATTAAAGGACTCTCAGATCCATATTTGTGATTTTTTGCAGGACTGTAAGGTCTATAAAAATATAAAAATTTTGATATGACCAATAATTGAGGTCAGAGATGTAATCGGCAATTTTTATGATCTGGAAATTTTTAAAGTAGTGTATGACTTCAAATACATTGTTTTATGGGTTTAACGAACAATATTATTTAAGGATACGTAAAGATTATATCGTAGACTCGAGGTCTCTTAAACTGAAGTTTTTGTTGATCTGTTTCATAAAATCTTAGACCAAAAATTTAATATTTAAGAGTCACTCTTAAATTAAAAAAAAGTAAAAAGGCATTAAGTTGAGTTTTGCCTTGTTAAGGCGAAGATCATATGTTTTATGATTTAAGTGTTTGTTTTCTCTTTCGAGACGAGCTTAATGATCTGAAATTTGCAGTGAAAAGGAAAGCCAGATAGACACTATCACACACTCACCACTATGCGACGCGTTCTGCCGGGCTGAATTTTGAATACCCTCCACTATTTGGAAATTAACAAAAAATGAATTATATTCGGTAAAAATCTTAAAAATATGGAATATAGCCGTTATATTGGGGTGTCCACGAAAACGTGGATCTGCATAAGCAATTTTTGTCATAAGCTATTACAATATTCAGTTACGAAACTTGAAAAACCGGTGAATAATGTGGCTAAAATTATCAAAATACCGAATATAGTGAGGTACTTTTATATCGGAGCTATAGGAAGACCTTGACCTACATAAAAAATTTTCTGTCACAGGCTGTAGTACCTATTAGGGACTTCAAACAATTTCGGTGAACATTGTACCTAAAATCGTCAAATACCGAATATTGGGAGGTGCCGCTATATGGGGGCTATACAAAGACGTGGACCTGCACAGACAATATCCTGTCATAGGCTGTATCATCCTTTTCGAACTTCAAATACCAAATTTCAAACAATTCCGGTGAATAATGTCGCTAAAATCATCAAAATATCGAATATCAGTAGGTACCGTTATATGGGGGCTATACGAAGACTTGGACCTGCACAGACAATTTTCTGTCTTAGGCTGTAGCGTCCATTTTGAACTTCAAATACCAAATATGAAATAATTCCGGTAAATAATGTCGCTGAAATCATCAAAATACCAAATATCGAGAAGTACCGTTATACGGGGGCTATATGATAACGTGGACCTACATGGCACATTTTCAATATCAAAAGTCCTGCGGGCATAATATACATTTGAGTAAAATTTTATTTTATTAATTTCAATTCGTTCGAAAGCTAAAGTGATTTCCATAGACGGACGGACATCGCTAAATCGAAATAGAATTTTATGATCAGATCAAGAATATATATATACTTTGTGGGGTCTAAAATGTATATTTCGAGGTGTTACAAACGGAATGACAAACTTGATACACCCTCCATACTATGGTGGAGGGTATAAAATATAAATTAAACGCACAATTTTGGCGGTGGAGGCAATAGTCTTGACTTATTTATACAAATTCTCATTTTTCCTTGACCGATTTTCAGATATTTACTTAAAATTCAATATTAGTTATTCCAAAATAATCAAGGCAAAAGGACATTTTGTTTCGTCCTCTTTTTAATTTATTTAAAAACATTAAATTCCTTAACTTCCACTTTCATTGCCACTATAACTGTTCCTCTAATTCCGCAAAAAATATTAATAGCTGTCACTTACCCATCTGCCAGACTGCCATTATTACTCTGCGTTGTGTGCTTTTTCAAAAAATCTTGCAATTCTCCATCCTTGCCACCTGCACTGGTGCCGCCGCTTGCATCGCTGCGATATGTTAAATTGTCATCCGTTGTTAGAGTTGGATCATTCAGACCAGCAGTACCCACGCCTCCGCCCCCAGTACCATTAGTATTCATTGTGTCGTATAAAAGATATTCGTCATAATCCTCTTCATCGTAATCATCGTCGTATTCATCATCCGAACTACTTTCATCATCTAATAGAACCTCCTCCTCCTCATCCGCTTGGTTGCCGTCACCCGCTGACGCTCCCTCTGGCATGACATCGGAATCACGTATAAAAGAAATGCCCGAATAGTAGACAAGACCTGCAGCATCGGCAGCAGCAGCACCACCTGGCACAGTTTTAGGAGAAGATTGTGTTTCACCACCCTCCATGGCTTTGGGAGATGCCTCACCACCACCAGTGCCATTATTGTTGCCATTTCCACTGCTGTTGTTGTTGCTGCTTCCGTTTTTCCCCATTAGATTTGCTGAAATCTTTTCCAAAGCTTCGCCCTGCAATGGCATTTGTAATTCGCACAAACGATCCAAGTCCTGTTTACCCACTCATCAACAGAGTAGCAATTTTTGGATTTCGATGGGGGGTATTTGTGCGAAAATTTGTATGAATGTGTGTGTGCGTGTGGGTGTGCGGGTGTCAGTCAATGTAATTGTGCGAGGGGTTGATGGTGTTGCCGTTGTTGTTGGTTTCACAGTTTGTTTGATTTTCACAACGTGTTTTTCGTGCAGAATTTGAAGAGGGATAGGCAGAGTGGGTAACACAGATTGATGATTGAGTTGCCATTGAATGTAACATTGTTGTTGTTGTTGTCGTCAATGATGTTGTTGTTTTTTTTTGTTGACAGGATACGAATGTCATAAAATGTTATGATTGTTGATTGGAAAGTCAGTCAGTCATTCATTCATTCATTCATTCATTTATTGCAGCCGTTGTTGTTGATGATGGCAAAGGGGAGGGGAAGAGAAATTGAAAAACAAACAAGAAATGTTAATATAGGCACAGATGCAAATTTATATTTTTAATTTGAATATTAGGGTGGTATAGATGTTCGAAATGGGTTTAAGGGGTACAAAAGAAGTATACACTGGTGGCCAAAACTAAAGCAACTTAAATCGCAAAGACAATAAATGTCCTGTAACTTTTACAAAAATAAACAAATCGTAATTATTTTTCCAGTTTTAAATGAGGGGTTTAATTCACTTTCAAGAAAGTAAAAATAAAAATACAAAAATAAGTTTGAACGAAAAATAATATGTGGAAAACTAAAATTACCCAATTTTTGCTTGGTCAAAACTAAAGCAACTTTTGATTTTTTTATTTTAAAATAATTAAATTTTGGCTAGTAGTCGATAGCATAACCATTATTTTTGATAGCAGCTGCACACCTACGAGGCATTGAATCTATAACACGCTCAATTTGATCCTTGGGTGTGCTTTCCCAGGCACCCCGAATTCTTTAGAAAATGTTGTGCTTATTTATTTCCGAATCTCTCTTGATCTTCCTATCTACGATACTCCAAAGGCTTTCTAAGGAGTTTAGGTCAGGTGATTGTGCCGGTCATAACAAAACATGAATTTTTGACTCCCGCAACCAATATTTGACAAGTTTTGATACAAGTTTGGGATCATTGTCATGCTGAAACACACAAATCAGCCCAATATTTTACTTAGCGTAAGGGAACAACGTGATGTCCAACACATCTTTGTAAACAAACGGATCCACAACTTCCTTTATTTTATGGATAGACCCAAGTCCATAGAAAGAAAAATAGCGCCACGCCATTTTTGACCCTCCCCCATGCTTCACTGTACCTTTGCAACACTGCGGCTTGAGTCCTTCATTTTTTGGTCTTCTCACCGTAAAATTTTTCACGTCTGAGCCTTTAATATTAAACGTAGACTCATCCCAGAAATAATGTTTTTTCCATTGAGCATGATTCCACTTAATATTATCGTTTCCGAAAGCCTTTTTGATTTTTTCAGATATAAATGGTTTTTTGATGTCTTACGGGCACGCAGACCAGCTGCCACTACTCGTCTACGCACTGATCTCGATCTTATATCCAATTATTGCTCTCTCACCAATCCTGTTGAACTCTTAAATAGTTGTTTTTTATTTCTCTCACAATTTGTGGATCAGTATGGGCTGAAGTTCTTCACGGCCATCATCCGTTATGGACTGTTACTACTGATCCAGTTTCAAAAAACCGACTTAGTGCACAGACATAATTATGAAATCACATAAATATTTATGAAATATTTCTCGGAAATCATTTTCTGTGATATGTTGTTTTGATAATCACTGATAATTTGCTGTTTTATTCAGGTACAGTATTTGTTTCTAGCCATTTTTAAATTTTTTTTGGCAGTACTTAAAAAACGTAAAGAAAAACATATACTGTTGTAAAAAACTTCTCAAAAAGGATTTATGACAAGCGAAATTGTCGAAGGAAGCAAAAAGCGATAAATATCACAGTAAAAACCACTGAAATTGCAGCGGTTATATGAATGTACAACAGAGTTGCTTTTGTTTTGTCCAAGTCAAAATCGGGTCAATTGACTTTACCAAACATAATTTTTTATATAAAAATGAATTTTGGTTTTATGTTTTAGGTTTTTAAAAAGTGAATAAAGTACCTAATTTAAAACAAGAAAAACTTTCTTATTTTCTTAATTTTTGAAAAATTTACAGGGCATTCATTCTCCTTGTAATTTCAGTTGCTTTAGTTTTGGCCGCCAGTGTATGTCCTTGTGAAGCTAAATATTGATTCGAAATATTGCTGCAGATTTTATGAAAAGAAATATATGGAAATACTACTTTTTATACCCTCAGCCATATGGGTACAGAGGGTATATATCATTTGATACGGTCAAAATGTGCCTAGTCGAAATAACGGTTTTAGACCCTAGGTCCCTTTGGACCAAATCCGTTTCAGCACATTTGGAGTCGATCTAGCGATGTCCGTCCGTCTGTCTGTCTGGTCCGATTTCGTCCAAACTTGGTACATCGTAATATTTTTGTCGGACTTAGGTCGAGTTCGGAGATGGGCAATATCGGTCCACTCCTTCTGGTACCTCCCCCCACAAAGGGTCAAACTTTAAATAATTGCAATTCTCATAAAATGTGTTGTAAGAGTCCGATTGCCTTCAAATTTCACACATCCCAATATTTATATTAAGATGGAATATATCGGCACTCCTTCTGGAGAAACTATAATCCGTTTTTGCTCCAACTTTGCAAATCCTAATATTTGCCTCAGTGCGAGGTCAGGTGTGAAAATGGACAATATCGGTCCACTCCATCAAGTACCTCCCCCACAAATGGTCAAAATTTTGAATAATTACAACTCTCATAAAATCTGATGTAACAGTCCGATTGCCTTCAAATTTCACACATCCCAATATTTATATTAACCCAAGGTCTGGTGCCAAGATGGAATATATCGGTCTACTCCTTCTGGTACCTCCCCCACAAATGGTCAAAATTTACAAAAAATATATATTTGGCACTGAAAGAAAAACGATAATCCGATTTTGCTCCAATTCTGCAAATCCTAATATTTGCCTCAGTGCGAGGTCAGGTGTGAAAATGGACAATATCGGTCCATTCCTTCTGTTACCTCCCCCACAAAAGGGTCAAAACATTAAATAATTATAATTCTTATAAAATGTGTTTTAAGAGTCCGATTGTCTTAAAATTTCACGCATCCCAATATTTTCATAAGCCCATGTTCTGTTCTTAAGATGGAATATATCGGTCCACTACGTCTGGCCCCTCCCCCACAAGAGGTCGAAATTTTAAATATCCATTAATCTCATAAAACGCGAAATTAACATCGGATTCCATTTAGGCACATCTGAATATTTCTCGGACCATTCCTCCTGCTACCTCCCCCACAAAGGGTCAAAGTTTTGAATAACCAAAACGTTTATTAAATCCGAAATAAGCATCAGGTTCTCTTTATATTTCACGCATCCCATTATTTCCACTAACAAAAGATCCGTTGTGAAGATGGGATATATCGGTCCACGCCTTCTGGTAGTCCCCCACAAAGGCCCAAAATTTCGAATATCCATGAAGCTAATAAAAAGCGAAATTGACATCCGATACTATTCAACGCTTGGTACATCCCAACATTTTCATTAACACAACACAGTCCAAACCTAGCACGTTGCAATATTTATATCATATTAATTTATGTCCGAAACGAAATGGCCAATAATGACCCATTCTTTCGGAACCAACTGCATAAGGGATTATACATATGAATAATCATAACAAAAGTCAAAATATATTTCAATAATCGAACATTGGCTAAGCGTATACATCTGTCTGTAAAACCGAATGATACTTTATAACTTGTTTTTTTTTTTTTTTTTTTTTTTTTTGAATTAAATTATCTCTTAAAATGTATGTACCACCCTAGTGTTTGTACAAATGTTTTTTTTTTCAAACTTTCTCATTTATTAACTGATAACATAAAAATTATAGAGCGGAAATCATTCAATATTATTGATGAGTAATTTGTTTTATTGATTTGTCTATAAAATTTTACATTTCAATTTTATGAAGTGCATGGATGGCAAATGGAAGTCTGATATTTAGCAATTTATTGGTTTGGGGGAAAGGTAAAATTGTGTTTGTAGAACTAGTTAGAAAATGTAAGTAGGTTTGCCTTCATGTATATGGGCAATATCTCCACAAAAATAGCATAACTGAAGCAAGTTTTCACAATCTCAAGCGAATTTTGATTATTTTCAAGCAAATTTAATATTTTTCGACATAATGGACTTGACCCAGAATATGGCCATTCATTCATCTTTGGTTGAATCTATATAAAATCAGTAAAGAAAAGTCAAAAGTCGGGAGGGCCGACTATATATTATTATATTGGAAATGTATTTAATATAGAGGGAACTAATGTATGGGAGGTATTTTTAATTTTAAATCGATGTTCACCAAATTTGACAAAACAAATACCACTCATACAAAAAAAAAAAAATTGTAGTGATGTAAAAAATATATATATAGTAAAATATCGACATGGAGGTAACTTAGGTAACTTTTTGCATAAGCCATTACAATATACAAATGTGAAACTTAATACAAATCGGTGAATAATGTATGCTGAAATTATACAAATATCGAATATCGGGAGGCACTGTTATATGGGGGCTATACGCAGATGTGGGCCTATACAGACAATTTTCTGTCTGAGGCCATTTACGAACTTCAAATACCAAATTTGAAACAATTGCGATTAATAATGTCTCTAAAATCATCAAAATACCGAACATCGGGAGGTACCGTTAAATAGGGGCTATACGAAGACGTGGACCTGCACAGACAATTTTCTGCACAGACAATTTTCTGTCTTAGGCTGTCTTAGGCTCCATTACGAAATTCAAATACCAAATTTGAAACAATTCCGGTGGAAAATGTCGCTAAAATCATCAAAATACTGAATATCGGGAGGTACCGTTATATGGGGGCTATACATAGACGTGGATCTGCACAGACAATTTTCCGTCTTAGGCTGTAGTGTCCATTACGAACATCAAATACCAAATTTGAAACAATTTCGATGAATAGTGGCTCTAAAATCATCCAAATACCGAATATCAGGTGGTACCGCTATGTGGGGGCTATACGAAGACGTGTATCTGCACTGACAATCTCCTGTCTTAGGCTGTATCATCCATTACACACATTAATTACATACAATAATGTCGCTGAAATCATCCAAATATCGAATGTCGGTAGGTACCGTTATATGGGGGCCATACGAAGACGTTAACCTGCACAGACAATTTTCTGTCTTAGGCTATAGTATCCATTACGAACTAATGGGTCTAAATGTATATTTCGTGGTGCTACAAACGGAATGACAAACATAATGGTGGAGGGTATAGAAATTTCGGAAATAGCATCAAATTTTAGAATAAGTTTAGATTTGTTCGAATTGGTTAGCTTTAATATGAATTATGGCCTTCAAACGGCCAATTGAACCGTCACACGCTGCCCGAATGTTGCTTTGTGGCGAAGCGCTTGCTTGAGGTGATCGACACTTTGGTATTTTTAGTGCCAACCTTTCTTTTTAAAATGCTCCAGATGCAATAGTCCAACATATTGGTATCCGGCGATTTTTTGTGACCATTGTGCGCTGGAAATGAAGCTAGGAACTTAATTTTGTAACCATTCTTGGGTTTCGCGTGTTGAGTGCTATGGTGCTGAGTCCTGTTGGAATATCCAAGGTCTGCAGCAAAAATGTTTGCGTGCCCCCAAGGCTTTAATACACCCTCCAGAATATTTTCGCGATAATATTCGGCATTTATTCTGATGCCACGTCGATTAATACGAGCGGATAGCGACCATCGGCTGTTATGGCGGCCCACAGCATCACCATGGCCGGCGCTTGAGTTGTGGTGGCCAACCGAAGGGGCAGATTTTCAACTGACCTCTTTGGCAAGTAAACACTATCATTTTCTTTGTTTACAAACTGCTGGACAATGAATGTTTTCTCATCGGAGAACCTAACCAAACCAAATTCGATAGTTCACCACTTTCGGCCAAGCGAATCAACTTTTTATCTCCTTTGAGTCTATTTCCTTTTTCTTGCGGTGTAAGTTCTTGCACTTTTTGGAATTTCAATGGCTTTACCCCTAGCTCATTTTTCAATATTTTTCGAATGGAATATTGCGGTATGTTCAGCTCTCGAGCCATTTTTCGGCACTGAGACGCGGGTTTCGATCAAGTCGCTTCTTTACTTTTCGAACCATTTCTGCTTATGTTGCTGTTTTCTTTCGTTCACTTCCTTGTCGGGCTACGCTACCAGTATCACGGTAACGAGCGATGCGAGCGATACAAGACCCAAAAGATTTATTCACATTTAAATGCTGGAGTGCACTAACGATAGCCACTTGTGGTTTTCCTGCCAAATGTAAAGAAATCACAGTATCACGCTTGCATTCCACGAATAATTTTTTTTTTCTGGAAAATTCTCACGAAAATTCCTTTGTGCGCTTGTAAACAATATAATGAGCTGTCACTGGAATAATTTCAACAGCTGTCGGACGAGTGACTTAGAAATGACAGCAGTCTGAAACCACAAGAAAACCACCGCTAATCACTTCTGACCGTTATACTGATGCTAATATCCAAGATATCGTATAACAGTTTTTTCATCTCACCCTGTATATTTTGCTACATATGCGATATCTTGGATATTAGCATCAGTATAACGGTCAGAAGTGATTCGCGGTTCAATGGAAATTTTCGTATTTTGCATTTTCTTACATAAAAATTGTGGTTTACTTCAGCCGCAAAATATTATTCGATGACCATCCAAATTTGTAGGCTTCTGCCCAGCCCTAAAATCTAGCCCCATGCAAAATTCCGGTCGATTGGTCTATAATTGTGACCTCAAGAAATTTTTCTATTTTTTGTCCATTTCAGCCATTAAATATTTTGCGATAATATCCAAAAAACAATTGTCTATTCTGACCTTAACCTCACCTATATGTAAAATTTCGTGAGGATCGGGCCAGACGGACACACATATCAAGATCGGCTCAGCTCGGCGAGATTGAAATATCCATATACAACATTCTGCGTCCAGGACCAATATTTTTGGCCCAGTCAGACTTATAATGTCCCAACACTTAGTGCTGCAGGGTATAAACATTTAAATCAACGTTTCAAAACAAAAAAAAAAAAAATATTTCGTAATTTTTGATCAATTTTTTTTCGGCCATATCGAGCTGACTTAATTTAATTTTAGATAGAAGGTGCCAAAAGGAGACATATTCTACACAACATTATATATAGCAACCGTATAAACCAAAAAAATGTTTTAAAATTCCAGTTTTACTACCTCTCTAAATACTTCGACACAGGATTGATTAAATTTTACTTTCAATTTCAAAAAATCCATTCGATCCTCTCGCTTACATTGCGAATCACTCTTGGCCGATGGTATAGCATTTTGTGCTTTTTCGTACCAACATCTCCAAAAAAAAAATACTTTTTTTTCACCAGGATTTTTTCAGCCAAATGTTCTCACTATTATTTTACAAAGTTTATTACGTTTCATATCCCTCCATATCTCAAATCTCCAAGTCAAAAATAAGGCACTTATATATATTTTCAAATTCCTACTTTTGCAAGTTCGCTAGATGTCAGTTTTTGATAATTTTTGTAATTTTTTGTACGTTTTAATTCCAATTTCCAAAAATGCTGCAGCATCTTCACACCTACATTGAACTACATTCCATTTTCAAAATTCGAACTTTACCCATTCGTTGTGTATTATTGCTGAGTTTGTACCTTTGTAAATAAATGATAAACATATAATTATCTCCACCTTACCTCTATCAACTGTGAAAACATATAAGTTGTTAACTCCTTCGCACCTTTCCCCTCTGACGCCTGTGAAGAACCACTCTGACTCTCTGATGACGAACGCCTCGATATGCCTTCACTTCCAGCCGTCTTAATGCTACGCTTACTTTGTGAACTTTTGTCACTTGCTAAGCTACCCTTACTGCTATTACGGCTAACGGATTTCCCCGTCCTTCCCTCTTTGGAGGATGTGTCACTGGGGCGATGTTTTTTCAAATCCAATGTTTCTGCCACAATCTGTTTGTCAACGTCTTCTCCTGCCATGGGAACAATGGCTGTTGGTGGGGATGATTTTATTTTTAATACTTTTTCAAATTGAACACTTGGAAAGAATTCCCGGGGCTCATCCAAATCTAGAAAATCCTCAGTAATGCGAGATCTTTGCAGTAGCAACATTTCCAATGGCATGGAGGTGGTGGCATTGGCTGATGCTGCTATTGCTGGTGGTGTTTCTTCGACAACAACCACAACCATTTTTTCATCTGTCAGATTATTGTCCAGGGAGCTGGAGCTGGTGCTGGCTGTGCGCGTAGGAGATTGCTGCGACGCCAGGGGAATTGGTGTAAAAATAACATTCTTAGGCTTGGCCAAATACAGCAGACGTCGTGGCTGTTTCCAACGCTTGTTGTGTTTACGCTGTTTACGTTGCTGTTGTTGCAATTGCTTCAGACGTTGCGTGTCGAAGCGGACACAAAATCCTTGTGGTATCCTCGGCACAATGAAGTCTTTAACCAGTCCATAAATATCAATATCACTGGGTATGTCGAACATGTCGAAATCGTTAATTTCTCTCACGGGTAAATTTGTGACGGCACCAGATTTTTGTGAACTTTTTTTACGCAGTTTTGAGAGGGGGAAACGAGGCGAGAGGCTCTTTAGGGGACTGGCATTGGTTGTGGTCGATATGGGAGTGGCCTCGGTTGTGTTATTGCTGTTGGATATGGGTTTGGGTCCCTCTGTCAAATCGGCTTCGAGAGTTTCCATTTGGGTCTCCCAACGACAGGCTATGGGGGGTTCGAACCATATTACACTGTCGGGTAAGCTGTTGGAATAAAAAGAGAGAGAGAGGGTCGGGAATGAGGGGATGGGGAACGAGAGAGGGCGGGGAGAGTGAGGTGGAAAGAGGGTGATAGGAGGAGAGAGGGTGAATGAGGGAGAGAGAGAGGGAGAGGGGGGACATAGGGAGAGAGGGGGACATAGGAAGAGAGAGGGGAAAGCGAGAGAGAGAGAGGGGGAAAAAGAGAGAGAGGGGGAAATAGGGTGAAAGAGGGAGAGAGGGGAAAAGAGAAAGAGAGGGGGAAAAGTGGTGAGGGGGGGAAAGAGGGAGAGGGGGAAGAGGGAGAGGGAGAGAGGGGGAAAGAGAAAGAGAGGGGGAAAAGTGGAGAGGGGGGGAAAGAAGGAGAGGGGGAAAAGAGAAGGAGAGAGGAAAAGAGAAGGAGAGAGGACAAGAGAAGGAGGTAGGAAAAGAGAAGGAGATAGGAAAAGAGGGAGAGGAAAAGAGAAGGAGAGAGGGGGATAGAGAAGGAGAGAGAAAATGTTTTTATGCATTTGTTTTTTCAATTAAGTTTCGGTCGGAACTTACTCTACAGTAACCAACGCCAATTTGTCCAAAGCTGCTTCAACCATACGCATTTCAGCTTCGATTTCCTCTGGCAATCGTCTCACACCCGGCAAGGGTGGGGGTGGTGGTTTATAGGTCTGATAGTAGACCTTCTGGCAAAGTTTGTTTGGAGCTAAAACTGAGTGGAAATAATTGAAACAAGTTCAAAAGTTCTGTAATGATTAGAGAGTGGGATGCCTATTTCGCTTCCTTTTTCAAAAACTTGAATCCTATGTGGGTGAACTACCAGAAGGAATGTTCCGATGCCTACCATCTTTATAATAGATCTTGTGTTGATGGAAATATTGAGGTGTGCCAAGTCTGAATGGAATCGGATGTTAGTTTTAAGGTTTATGAACTTCAGGAATATTCAAAGTTTCGACCATTTGTGGGGGAGGTACCAGAAGGAGTAGACCGATCTCTGCCATCTTCACACCAGATCTTGCGTTAGTACAAATATTATGATGTGTTAGGATTGGAAATAATCCGTTTGACCCTTTGTGTGGGGGAGGTGCCGGAAGGAGTGGACCGATATGTCCCATCTTCACAGCAGATCTTTCGTTCGTAAAAATAATAAAATGTGTGAAATTTGAAAGAGAACCGGATGCTTATTTCGGATTTTACGCTAGCTTTTGGTTATCCAAAATTTTGACCCTTTGTGGTAGAGGTATTAGAAGAAATGGTCCGATCTCTACCATCTTTATAACAGATTATGTCTTGATAAAAATATTGAGATCTACCAAGTCTGAATAAAATCGGGTGTCAATTCACGTTTTATAAGCTTCATGGATAATCAAAATTTTGACCCATATACCATCTTCACAGCAGATCTTTTGTTAGTAGTTATAATGGGATGTGTGAAATTTGAAGAGAACCAGATTCTTATTACGGATTTTAAACTCGTTTTGGTTATTCAAAATTAAGACCCATTGTTGGGGAAATACGAGAAGAAATATTCCGATGTCTACCATGTTTATAACAGATCTTGTGTTGATAGAAATATTGAGATGTACCAAGTCTAGATTTAATCGGATCTTAATTTCACCTTTTGTGAGCTTCAAGGATATTCAAAATTTTGTCCCCTTAGTGGGGGAGGTACCAGAAGGAGTGGAACGATATATTTCATCTTCACACCAAGTCTGGTGTTAATAGAAGTATTCGGATATGTCAGATTTGAAAATAATCCGGTTCTCATTTCCCGTTTTATGAGCTTCATCGATATTAAAAATGTTGACCCTTTGTGGGGGAAGTACCTGAAGGAGTGGGCCGATATGTCTTCTTCACAGCAGGTCTTGTGTTAGTAGAAATAATGGGATGTGTGAAATTTGAAGTGAGCAGGATAATTATTTCGGATTTTATGCTCGTTTTGGTTATTCAAAATTTTGACCCTTTATGGGGGAGGTACCAGAAGGAATTATCCGATTTGTACCATCTTTGTAACAGATCTTATGTTGGTGGAAATATTGAGATGTACCAAGTCTAAATGGAATCGGATCTTAATTTCACCTTTTGTGAGCTTCATGGATATTTAAAATTTTCAATCTTTGTGGGGGAGTTACCAGAAAGAGTGGACCGATATATTTCATTTTCACACCAGGTCTAGTGTTAGTAGAAAGATTGGGATATGTCAGGTTTGGAAAAAATCGGGTGCTCATTTCGCGTTTTATGAATTTCATGGATATTCAAAATGTTGACCCTTTGTGAGGGAGGTACCAGAAGTAGTGGACCGATCTGTACCATCTTTATAACAGATCTTGTGTTGATGGAAATATTGAGATGTACCAAGTATGAATGGAATCGGGTCTTAATTTCACCTTTTGTGAGCTTCATGGATATTCAAAAGTTTGTCCCTTAGTGGAGGATGTATCAGAAAGAGTGAACCGATATATTTCATATTCACACCAGGTCTGGTGTTAATAAAAATATTCAGATATCTCAGGTTTGAAAATAATCGGGTGCTCATTTCGCGTTTTTATGAGCTTCAAGGGTATTCAAAATATTAACCCTTCGTTGGGAAGATACCAGAAGTAGTGGACCGATATTGTCTACTTTCGTACCTGTCGAAGCATTAATGAAAATATTAGGATTTGCGAAGTTAGAACAAAATCGGATCATCCATTCTCTTTCTGTGCACTAAAATATTTTCTTTGAAAATGTCGACCTTTTGAGGGGAAGATACCAGAAGGAGTTGACCGATATAGCCCATCTCCGAACCCGATCTTAGTTTGATAATATTACGGTGCACCAAGTTCGGGTCAAATCGGATACTCCCTTCGAGAGCTATCGTACGCACCTGCCAGACAGAGAGACAAACGAACGGATGGACGAACGTATGGATATCGCTAGATCGACTCCAAATGTCCTGAAACGCATTTGGTCCAAATTAAACTAGGGTGTAAAACCATTATTTCGATGAAGCAGGTTTTGGCCGTATCAAATGATGTATTGCCTCTCTAGCCAGGGTATAAAATTTAGGGAGGTTTGTAAGTACATCAAAACATACAATATTACAAAAATCCGACAAAAAGCTGAATATATTAGAACAATCGGGACCTGTAAAAATGTCCATAACCCGAGCATATCACTGGTGTCATGTTTCGTCCAATTTTGTCTTTTGCCAAAAAACATCAGAAACCCCTTGAATCTTACAAGCGAGCTCGGCATTATACAAAAATATTTTTACATAAATATGTAAACTTCTAAAAACCCTCCCTCCCTCCTTGTATTCTACTTACTTGTTCTTATAAAAGATCGAGCATTCAATTGCTTATCCTGCTGTGGCGTTTCCAAATAATCCAAACAATAAACACCGCCAATGATGCGATATTTTCTCAAATTAACATCCGTGTCGAGCAGGCCAAAACTTTCCGGTCCTATGGCTTTTCGCCTCAACTTATTCAACTCATCTTCATATTCCAAATACAATTTGTCCACATCTAAATTTTTCTCCCGCGACTTTTGATTTGAGGCTTCCTGTTCGTATTGTTCCAATTCGTGCAACGGTATTTCCTTGGAGCACTCATCCAACATATTTTGTAAGATTTCTTTGCGTTTGCGCCATTCCTTTTTTGTTTGATGCAACATGTCTGGGGGACAAAAGAAACCAAATTACAACTCCCCCAAGACGTGACTTGAAGTTTATTTACAACTTACTGATATGCGGCGATCTGGGTTTCTTCAAATTAAAACTGGGACAATAATCACTTAGGTGATCATAGTTAAGCCACAAACCCCTCAGAGCTGAACTATACAGTATGACCGATGGTGGTAGGGATAGCAGCATTTTCATCAATGGAAACTCAATTTCATTGTGCAGATTTTGTTCCCCTATCCTCGGTTTGGCACTCAGGGAGCTGTAATGGGAAATATATTATCAAATTGCTCTGTAGTTTGCGGAATTTCATTCCCACATTTGTGCATCCTTGGAAAATGTCCAAATGAAACTTTTGAATACCTCCGAATCATAAATATGTTTTGATACTCCCGGACGATCAATCCTGGAAACGATACGGTATAAAATATATAGGTATTGGTACTGCTACAGCTACTTTCTTACTCCATATCTCTTTCCACATGCGACATTGTCTTGTAGGTAAAATCATCCAAATATTCCTTGAGTAAAATTCTTATTTCCGTTTTCAGCTTTCCAAGATCCGCCAACGTATGTTGAGCATTGGTTTTGTCATTCAATGCCTCATTGAGTTCTTGGAGGATCTGTGACAATTATAAAAAATATAAGCTCATGCAAGAAAATCATGTTTTGTAAAACAAAACCACTCTTTTTGGTACCTCCCCACATCTTTAAAGGATTTGCAATAAAAGACATCAAAATCTAATATCGAGCGAAGGTAGTATCCGATGAAATTTAAATTTTAGTAATATTTGAAAAAGACTTAGGTTTGGTGTGAAATTCTATAAATTTGTGAAACCAAAAATGGAAAATATCCGAACATACACATATTTCGTATAGTTGGTATTGATGTCAGACTTGAGTCAGGACCGACTACGTATATGTTGTTGGCTAGCTCCCTTCTTCTGATAAAGTTTCCACAACGGACCAAAATATTTAATATTCATCATAAAATACAGAATAATTGCACAGCTCCTATCAAACTTTGCACTAGCATCATATCTAGTGTACAATTGGAATATGTGGGTATAATCTTTCCCGAAAAAGGATATACCTAAATAAAGGGTTAGATAAAAAACTGCAACAAAATCACATTCCATAATTTTTACATTTTTTTTTAAATTTTATTGAACCCATTTGGTAAAAATTTGGCAATTTTCAAAAAATAAAATCCGTTAAAAATTCTGTTAAAATCTTAAAAATATCGCATGTAGCCGTTATATTAGGCAACCATCTTCTTTTTTATGCTGTAGTAGCTATTACGAACTTCAAATACCAATTTGAAACAGTTCCGGTAATTAATGTCGCTAAAATCATCAAAATACCAAAGATCGGGAGGTACCGTTATATGGGGGCTATACCAAAACATGGTCCTACATGGCCCACTTTCAATACCAAAAGTCCTGCAGACATAATACACATTTGAGTAAAATTTTATCAGCCTAATTCATTTCGTTCGGAAGCTAGAGTGATTTCCACAGACGGACAGACAGACGGACATTGCTAAATCGACATAGAATTTTATGCTGATCAAGAATATATACACTTTGTGGGGTCCAAAATGTTTATTTCGAGGTGTTACAAACGTGGAGGGTAAAAAATGTAGGAAATAGCATCAAATTTTAGATTTGTTCGAATTGGTCACCTTTGGTACGAATTATGGCCTTCAAACGGCTAATGAAACCGTCACACACTACCCAAATATTGCTCTGCGGTATTTTCGCCCATTCCCGGCGAAGCGCTTGCTTGAGGTGGTCGACACTTGGGTATTTTTTAGTGACAACCTTGCTTTCCAAAATACTCCTGACACAATAGTCCAACGGATTGGTATGCGGAGATTTTTTGTGGTCATTGAGCACTGGAATTGAAGCAAGGAACTTCATTTTGTAACCATTTTTGGGTGGCGCATGCTGAGTGCGATGGTGCTGAGTTCTGTTGGAATATCCAAGGTCTGCGGCCAAAATGTTTACGTGCCCAAGGCTTTACTATATATTTTCGCCATAATATTTTCGCGATAAAATTCGGCATTTATTCTGATGCCACGGCCGATTTATACGAGTGGAGAGTGACCATCGGCTATTATGGCGGCCCACACCATCACCATGGCTGGCGCTTGAGTTCTGGTGGCCAACCGAAGGTGCACATTTTCAGCTGACCTCTTTGGCAAGAAAACACAATTATTTTGTTTGTTTACAAACTGCTGGACAACGAATGTTTTCTCATCGGAGTCGGAGAAAACTAATTTCGCCAGTTCACCACTTTGGCCAAGCGAAACAACTCTTTAGCTCTTTTGAGTCTATTTTCTATCGGTTGCGGTGTAAATTCCAGCACTTTTTATACCCTACTATGGATGGTATATTAACATTGTCATTCCGTTTGTAACTCCTCGAAATACTCATATAAGACCCAAAAAAGAATATAAATTCTTGATCAGCGTAAAATTCTAAGACGATTCAGCAATGTCCGTCTGTCTGTCTGTCTGTTTGTCTGTCCGTCTGTCCGTCTGTTGTAATCACGCTATCTTTCGAATGAATTTAGATAGGTGGCTAAAATTTTGCACACATGTATATTTTGCCAGTAGGCAGGTTAAGTTCGTAAATGGGCCCTGTAGGTCCAAGATATCATATAGCCCCCATATAACGGTACCTCCCGATATTCGGTATTTTGATGATTTCAGCAATAATATTCATCGGAATTGTTTCAAATTTGGTATTTTCGTAATGAATACTACAGCCTAAGATAGAAAATTGTCTGTGCAGGTCCACATCTTCGTATAGCCCCCATATAGCGGCATCTCCCAATATTCGGTATTTTGATGATTTTAGGGTCATTATTCATCGGAATTGTTTCAAATTACGTATATAGAGTTCGTAATGTGAGCTACAGCCTGTGACAGAAAATTGGCTATGCAGGTCCAGGTTCTCGTATAGGCCTCATATATCAGTACCGGTATATCCGGTATTTTGAAGAGTTAGGGTACAATACCCTCCGAAATTGTTTGAGATGTCGTATTTGATGTTCGTAATGCATGATACAGCCTGTGACAGAAAATTGTCTATGCTGGTCCAGGTCTTCGCACAGCTCCGATATAACGGAACCTCCCTACATACGATATTTTGATGATTTTAGCTACGTTATTCACCGTTTATTTCAAGTTTCGAGTTTGAATATGGTAATGGCTTATGATAAACAATGCCTATGTAGGTCCACGTCGTATAGACCCCAATAGACGGCTATATTTGGCATTTGTAAAATTTTTACAGAATTTTTTAAGAATTTTATTTTTTGAAAATTTCCAAATTCATTCCAAAAGGTGTGGAGGGTATTCAAAGATCGGCCCGGCCTAACTTACTGATTTTTAACTTGTTTTAATTTTATTGAGTGAAATCAAAAACTGTCGGAAATAGTATCAAATTTTAGAATAAGTTTAGATTTGTTCGAATTGGTCACTTTTGGCAGAAATTATGGCCTTCAAACGACAACTGAAACCGTCAGACGCTGCCTAAATATTGCTCTGCGGTATTTTGGCCCATTCCCGGCAAAGCGCGTGCTTGAGGTGATCGACACTTTTGATATTTTTTAGTGCCAACCATGCTTTCCAAAAAAAATAAAAAAAAAACAGACACAATAGTCCAAGGGATTGTTATCCGGAGATTTTGGTGGCCATTGTGCGTTGCAAAAGAAGCAAGGAACCTCATTTTTTAACCATTCTTGGAATGTTGCTGAGTGCGATGCCAAAATGTTTGCGTGTCCAAGGCTTTAATACACCCTCCAGAATATTTTCGCGAAAATATTCGGAATTTATTCTGATGCCACGGTCGATAAATAAGAGCCGATAGCGACCATCGGCTGTTATTGGGGCCCACAACATCACCATGGCCGGCGCTTGTGTTCTGGAGGCCAAACGAAGGTGCACATTTTCAGCTGACTTTTTTTTGGCAAGTAAACACGATTTACAAACTGCTGGACAACGAATGTTTTCCAATCGGAGAAAACCAAATTCGGCAGTTCACCACTTTCGGCCAAGCGAATCAACTCTTTAGCTCTTTTGAGTCTATTTTCTCTTTCTTTCTGTTGCGGTGTAAGTTCTGGCACTTTTTGGAATTTCAATGGCTTTATTCCGAGCTCATTTTTCAATATTTGCCAAATGGAATATTGTGATATGTTCAGCTCACGAGCCATTTTTCGGCTACTGCGACGCGGGTTTCGATCAAGTCGCTTCGTTACTTTTCGAATCATTTCCGCTGATGTTGCTGTTTTCTTCCGTCCACTTTCTTGAGGTTGGGCTACGCTACCAGTATCACAGTAACGAGCGATGGTACGAGGCACAAAAGATTCAAGATTCACATTTAAATGCTGGAGTATCCTAACGATAGCCACTTGTGGTTCTCCACCCAAATATAAAGAAATCACCCTGTCACGCTTGAATTCCATCACGAATAACTTTTTTTCTGGAAAATTCTCACCAAAATGCTTTTGTACGCTTGTAAACAATATAATGAGCTGTCACTGGAATAATTTTAACCGCTGTCGAACGAGTGGCTTAGAAATGACAGCAGTCTGAAGTTGGTTGCAGTTTTTTCATCTCATCATGTATAGTATTCTAATACGAAACTTGAAACTATTCCGGGAAATAATGTCGCAAAAGCATCAAAATACCGCACATAAGGAGGTACTGTATATGGCGACTATACATCCCTTCATAGACAATGTTCTGTCATAGACTGTAGTACCCATAAGGAACTTCAAATACGAATTTTTAAACAATTCCTGTGAATAATGTAGCTAAAATCTTCTAAATTCCGAATTTAGGGAGGTATCGATATATGGGGGATATACGAAGACTTTTACCTGCACAGACTCCTGTTATAGGCTGTAGCATTCATTTCGAACTTCAAATACCAAACTTGAAACAATTCCGGTGAATATTGTCGCTAAAATCATCTAAATACCGAATATCGGGAGCTACCGATACATGGGGGCTATCCGAAGACCTGAACCCCATTACTAAGTGCAAATAAGAAATTTGAAACAATTTCGGGGAACAATGTCGCTGAAATCAGCAAAATACTTAATACAGGGAAGCACCTTCAGAAAGGGGGCTATACGAAGACCTGGACCTGCATAGTCAATTATCTGTCACTGGCTTTAGTATTTATTAGGAACTTCAAATACGAAATTTGAAAAAATTTATTTGAATAGTGACGCTAAAATCATCAAAATACCAAATATGGGGAGGTACAGTTATATGGAGGCTATACCTATACCTATACTTATACCTATACCTACATGGCCCATTTTCAATACCAAAAGTCCTGCAGACCAAACACATATTTAGGTGAAATTTTATCAACATCACTTTGTTTGGAAGCTAGAGTGATTTCCATAGACGGACGGACATCGCTAAATTGGCATTGAATTTTATGCTGATCAAGAATATATATACTTTGTGGGGTCTAAAATGCGTATTTCGAGGTGTTACAAACGGAATGACAAACTTAATATACCCTCCATACTATGGTGGAGGATATAAAAAAATAGCAGAACATCCTAACTTTTTCATATATCGTTCACACCGGACTGATTTTTTCTAACTCATTTCACATTAAACTTACCCCCAATATCTCCTTGACACGCTGCGCATAGACATCACCCAAATTACCCTGCTGCTTGCGCAGTGTTGCCTTCGTCAAATCGGGCACCGTGAAATCCTGTGTCAACAAAGTTCTTTCGTTGGTCTTCAGCAACCAATTGCGTGATTCTCGATTACGCCGTTCCACATCCATTTTCCATTGATGAATATATTTGCGTAAATCGCTTGGACTATTGGCATTCGGTAGGCCATTGCAACGCATAAATTTTTCCCAATCAACTTCGTCCTTGGCCACGCGTTTTATCCCATCAATGGTTTGATGGACATGATTGAAGAATGCCATGCTGTTCTTCAACTGGGCGCGTCTCTGTTTATTTTCTTGGATTTCCATTTGGAGGCGATGTTTGGCCTGTTCCCGTTCGATTTTGCGACGCTGTCTGGCCTCTTCGAGTTTTTTGAGTCTGCCAAGAAAAAAAAGAGGGAATAGGGGAGGGAAAATAGAGGAGAGTAATAAATTCACTTACTTTTCCTTTTCCATTTCAATGCGTAACAGTTCGGCCTGTTCCGCCTCCAAGCGGGCCTTTTCCTTTTTGCTCAATTTCTTTTTCGGTGGCTGTAAATCAATGAAGGCAATCATTTTTTTAAAGGAAATAATTAATGTTAATTTATTGGCCTCATAATTTTTGTCCCGTTTACCATTTTTCCGATATCTTCTGGCTGTTTCCTGGACTCGCTTTTTTTGCTGGGTGCTAAAAAGTTAGTAATTTAATGATGGTCCTCCTTTTGGCTCTTGGGTTATTGAATGAAAATTCAATAGCAAAATTGTTTTGTTTAGCAACCAAAGCTCGGGTAACTGTTGGCCGTTGCCATGTTGCCTTCTTAATAGCCATATTTTGTTTTTTTTTTTTTTTTGTCAAGAGCAACAGACTAAATAAAACAGCGCCAGAATGAAAGCAGCTAAGTAACGGTCTTAATTTCGCTTCTTTCATTGCCTTTGCTTTTTTAATAAGCTAAAAGGGAAAACATAAAACGGCTTATTTTGTGGCTGTTTTGGGTTGGTTTATATTCTCGGTTTAAATGGGAATGGAAAGAAAAGAGAACATTTATGGATTTAAAGATTTTTTTTCAAAATTGTTTAAATTATTTTTTTTGTTCAAAATGTTGAATTTTTTAAATTAGGTCTATGGTTTTATTACTGGACCTAGATCATAAAAGTTATTTTTGAAAAATAACAAGTTAAAAAGTAGTAAGTTCTGCAGGACCATACATATCTCCATCATGCATGATGCATACTCTCCATCATTTGAACGAATTTGGAAATTTTCAAAAAATAAAATCCTTAAAAAATTCTGTTAAAATTTTAAAAATACCGAATATAGCCGTTATATTGGGGTCTATACGACGTGGACCTACATAGGCATTGTCTGTCATAAGCCATTACCATACTAAAACTCGAAATTTGAAATAAGCAGTGAATAATGTAGCTAAAATCGTCAAATTATCGCATATAGGGAGGTTCCGTTATATCGGAGTTTTGCGAAGACCTGGACCAGCATAGACAATTTTCTGCCACAGGCTATAGCTCCATTACGAACTTCAAATACGACATCTCAAACAATTTCGGAGGGTATTGTACCTAAACTCTTCAAACTACCGGGTATAGGGAGATACTGCTATATGAGGCCTATACGAGAACCGGGACCTGTATAGACAATTTTCTGTCACAGGCTGTAGTTCCCATTACGAACTCTAAATACGTAATTTGCAACAATTCCGGTGAAGAATGACGCTAAAATCATCAAAATACCGAATATTGTGAGATGCCGCTATATGGAGGCTATACGAAGACGTGGACCTGCACAGACAATCTCCTGTCGTAGGCAGCATTATCCATTTCGAACTTAAAATACCAAATTTGAAACAATTCCGGTGAATAATGACTCAAAAATCATCAAAATACCGAAAATAGGGAGGTTTCCGTTATATGGGGGCTATACGAAGACGTGGATTTGCACAGAAACTCTCCTGTCATAGGCAGCATCATCCATTTCGAACTTCAAATACCAAATTTGAAATAATTCCGATGAATATTGTCGCTGAAATCATTAAAATACCGAAAATAGGGAGGTACCGTTATATGGGGGCTATACGAAGACGTGGACCTGCACAGACAATCTCCTGTAATAGGCAGCATCATTCATTTCGAACTTCAAATATCAAATTTGAAACAATTCCGATGAATATTGTCGCTGAAATCATCAAAATACCGAAAATAAGGAGATACCGTTATATGGGGGCTATACGAAGACGTGAACCTGCACAGAAGACTTTCTGTCATAGGCTGTAGTATCCATTACGTACTTCAAATGCCAAATTTGAAACAATTCCGGTGAAAAATGTCGCTAAAATCATCAAAATACCGAATATCGGGAGGTACAGTTATATGGGGGCTATATGAAAACGTGGACGTACACGGCCCATTTACGAACTTAGCCTGCCTACTGGAAAAATAAACATGCGTGCAAAATTTTAGCCTTCTGTCTCAATTCGTTCGAATGATAGCTTGATTACAACAGACAGAGGGATATCGCTAAATCGACTTAGAATTTTACGCTGATCAAGAATATATATACCTTGCTGGGTCTGACATGATTATTTCGAAGAGTTACAAACGGAATAACAAAGTTAACATAGCTTCCATAGTATGGTGTAGGATATATAAAAAAAACTGCAACCAACTTCAGACTGCTATCATTTCTAAGCCACTCGTCCGACAGCTGTTAAAATTATTCCAGTGATAGCTCATTACGTTGTTTACAAGCGAACAAAAGCACTTTTGGTGAGAATTTTCCAAAAAAAAAAAAATGTTATTCGTGATGGAATTCAAGCGTGATAGTGTGATTTCTTTATATTTGGCTGGAAAACCACAAGTGGGTATCGTTAGAGCACTCCAGCATTTAAATGTGTATTTTGAATCTTTTGTGTCTCGTATCATTGCTCGTTACCGTGATACTGGTAGCGTAGCCCGACAAGAAAGTCCAGGATGTGGATGGAAGAAAACAGCAACATCAGCAGAAATGGTTCGAAAAGTAAAGAAGCGACTTGATCGAAACCCGTGTCGCAGTGGCCGAAAAATAGCTCGTGAGCATATCGCAATATTCCATTCGGCAAATATTGAAAAATTAGCTCGGGTTAAAGTCATTGAATTTCCAAAAAGTCCAAGAACTTACACCGCAACAGAATGAAATTAGACTAAAAAGAGCTAAAGAGTTGCTGCGCTTGGCCGAAAGTGGTGAACTGCCTAATTAGGTTTTCTTCGCTGAGAAAACATTCGTTCCCCAGCAGTTTGTAAACAAAAAAATGATAGTGTTTACTTGCCAAAGAGGTCAGCTGAAAATGTGCAACTTCGGTTGGCCACCAGAACTCAAGCGCCGGTCATGGTGATGATGTGGGCAGCCATAACAGTCGATGGTTGCTCTCCGCTCGCATTAATCGACCGTGGCATCAGAATAAATGCCGAATATTATCGCGACAATATTCTGGAGGATGTATTAAAGCCTTGGGCGCGCAAACATTTTGGCCGCAGACCTTGGACATTCCAAAAGGACTCAGAACCATCGCACTCAGCACGCGCTACCCAAGAATGGTTACAAAATGAGGTTCCTCGCTTCATTTCCAGCGCACAATGGCCACCAAAATCTCCAGTTACCAAATCGTTGAACTATTGTGTCTGAAGTATTTTGGAGCATGGTTGGCACTTAAAAATACCAAAGTGTTGATCACCTGAAGCAAGCACTTCGCCTGGAATGGGCGAAAATACCACAGAGCAACTTTCGGGCAGCGTGTGACGGTTTCATTGGCCGTTTGAAGGCCATAATTCGTGGCAAAGGTGTCCAATTCGAACAAATCTAAACTTATTCTAAAACTTGATGATACTTCCAAAATTTGTTGCTTTCATTCAATAAAATTAAAAAAAATGTAAAAATTATGGCGTTTGACTTTGTTGCAGTTTTTTTGTCTCACCCTGTATATGTCCAATTGACTTTAGGATAAAATATTCTTAATTTTTTTCCTGAATATTTTTCCCAAAACATACGTACATTTATGTATAAAAAACCGTATATTCCATAAATCAGAATTTCATTTGACCTTTGACTTTGTCTTGTAGTGTTCTTTTTTCCTTTTTGCCACAAACTTAATCCTTTGTAAGCCTCAGAGAAAATCTCTCTCTGATTGATTAAAATCGTTTTGTTAAGTTTTCGGATTTTCCTGATTTTTTTTTCTTTTTTGTTGTTGGGCTTTGTTGTTTGTTTTGACTGGCAACCCAAGCTCTCCTCTCTCTCCATCCCTAGGTGTAGGAGAAGGAAAAACCACATGCTTAATCCTTATTCATTTTTTAAATCCATGGATTTTGTCATTGCTTTAATATCACATACATTTTTATATCCTCAGCCATATGGCTACAGGGGGGTATATATCATTTGAGACGGCCAAAACATGCCTCATCGAAATAAAGGTTTTAAGACCCTAGGTCTCTTTAGACCAATTTTTTTTTTTTAACACATTTGAAGTCGATCTAGAGATGTCTGACCGTCCGTCCGCCTGTCTGGCTGGTTGGTGCTCACGATAAATCTCGAAGGGAGTATCCGATTTGGTCCAAACTTGGTACATCGTAATATTATTATTAACCTTAGATAGAGCTCGGAGATGGGTCGAAAATATCAAGTAAAATGCAATCAGTCGGTATTGGCGACAGATGCATGCCCTCAGCTAACGTTTGGTTATTTAAATATATTTTGACTTGCGTTATGTTTATTTAAACTGTTGACGGTATGTAGAAGAGGTTCCGAAGGAGCAGACCAATATTTTCCGTTTTGTATCTGACATATGTGTGATAAAAATATTTAAACGTATTACATTTGGTTTTTATATCGACTATTTGCTTCACTTTATACAAGATATTTGATATTATTTAGAAATGTTCGCATTTTATGACAGCTAAAATTATTAAAAATTCTTACCCGTTGTGGGGGAGGTACCAAAAGGAATAGCCTGATATTGTCCATCTCCGTAACACATCTTGTGTTGTGAAAAATACTGGGAAGTGCCGAGTTTGAATTGGATGTTCATTTTGCGTTTAATGTGCTTAATGGTTATTCCAAATTTTGACCCTTTGTGGGGGAGGTACTAGAAGAGGTCCTTTCATTCCGATCTTTGTACCAGACCTTGTCTCAGTATGAATAGTGAGATGTGCGAAATTTTAAGATAATCGGACTTTTAGTTCACATTTTATTAGCGTTATTTTTACTCAACATTTTTACCCTTTGTGGGCGAGGTAACTGAATCAGTGATTTGATACCTACCATCTCCTCGCCACATTGCTTTCCTTAGTAAAAATATTTGGATGTGTGGAATTTGAAAAGAATCTGATTCTCATTTTGCGTTTTATAAGCAATTTGTTGCCCCTTTCTAAGGGAGGTAGTAGAAGAAGTGTACCGATATTGCCCATCTCCAAACTCGATCTAAGTTTGATAATAATATTACGATATACCAAGGTTGGTCCAAATCGGATACTCCCTTCTATAGTTATTGTGCGCACTAGCCAGTCAGACGGACATCACTAGATCGACTCCAAATGTCCTACAACGGATTTGATCCAATGAGACATAGCGACCCAAACCGTTGTTTCTATGAGACACGTCGAAATTAAAGAAAAAATATTTTTCTGCACAGAAAGAGAAAGGAAAATCCGGTTTTTTCTTAGCTTTGCAAATCCTAATATATGCATTAGT